GTTATCGTAATTATATATATATATATATATGTACTGTATGTGTGTGTATATATGTATATGTATATATATGATGTGTGTGTGATGATGTTGTGTATATGTGTGCTACCAGAATCCCAACACTAGCTTAGCCTTTAGGCAAAACTCGACAATAATATTGTTTCACTCACTTGGAGATATATGTTTGTCTGAGATTCCTTTTGATACCCATCCCCATACATGCCCAGTATTTTGCAATGTGTTGTTTAATGGCTTTTATTTAATGGCAGTTACCCTGAGTGCGCGCTTGCTTCTTGAACACAAGGGGAAACTTTTTTGCGGGTTTACTATTGGACCAGTCATAAGCTGTGTCTGTCATAAATGGATTTTGTTTTTGGTATCTTTTAAATGTTCCCATGCAGAAAAGAAAGAAAGAAAGAAACGGAAGGCATTTTATTTTCATTACTTATAAACTGATAAAAGAATAAAGTAGTATAAAATCTTGCCGACTGCAGAATAGAACACTGCCCTTTTCGGTCCTTGTTGCACTAACTTTAGAAGGAATAGAATCAATAATTTCATGAGATATCTCAGGCATTATAAAATAGAAATCACATTTTTTTTCTTTCATGTTGTCATTAATGAATTACTTTCCGTATCCATAGCCACCATAGCCTCTTCCATAGCCACCATAATAACCACCGTAGCTTCCGCCATAACCACCATAGCCTCTTCCATAGCCACCATAGCCGCCGCCATAGCCACCATAGCCTCCTCCATAGCCGCCGCCATAGCCACCATAGCCTCCTCCATAACCACCATAGCCGCCATATCCTCCTCCGTAGCCCCCATACCTACTGCCTCGTGCCAGGACACATGCCATCATGGCAGCCAACAAAACAAGAGCCAAAGCGTATTTCTGCAACGTAAATAAAAGAGGTAAAGCGATTGGGTATTTACAAGAGATATCAAACATGACGATGGCGACGATGTCTATATTTAACAGCGATACAAGACCTTAACTGTGATAATGATGATTATGATTATGAAAGAATACTTAAGGAATATAGTCCTCACAGTTTTTAATTCTAATAAGTAGATTATTAAAGATACCCATATAATGCATATTCTATTTTGTCGTACTTTGTCGTTATCATTACTAATACTAATACCATTAGCTTTTTTTTTTTTTTTTTTTCAAGGTATACCATAAATATGTATAAGAAGTATTACATATATACACATATAACTATATATATATATATTATATATATATTATATATATATATATATATATATTATATATATGAAATATATTTATACATATTATATATATATATTATATATATATATATATATATATATAGAACGCTCCCATTGTGTTTAGAGTATATACATATATATTTTTTTCTTCTTTTTACGCTTACCATTGTGCTTGGAGTTTCTTGTGTGAGGTCAGTCCAATCTCTGCCTCAGCCTGAGCGCAGACCAATCTCTTATAGGTCCGAAGAAAAGACTAATTAGGCCATTTTGACCACGAGGAACATGACTTAGCGAGTCAGCCTTTCGCAACAGATTTGATTCAAGTCGTTCGAGCGCGTGTGTGTGTGTTTACATGTGTTTTGTGTTTTTTATAATATATATATTATATATATATATATATATATATATATATTATATATATATATATATATATAATATATACACACACACACACACACACCACACACACACACACACACGCACACACACATATTTATATATATTAATATATATATATATATATGTATATATATATATATATATATATATATATATATATATATATATATATTATATATTTGAGGAACACTGCACGATTTGAAAACTTTGTTCCCTCATTGTTTCACATTCTGAGGACTATACTTTTCACACACACACAACTGCTGTGCTGACTTTTACATCTTTTCGCTTCAACGAATAATTTTCAGACAACGTGAAAGGAAGGCATCTGTACTAGTTGTCCCTTAGAGCCTACCTAAGCTCACACTACGAGACATTCAGGTCCATCTAGAATCTGATACAAACCAAAAGTACCATAAAAAAAAATTAGCATGTGTGTTCTCCAGTGTTGTTACAGTGTTATTATAGATATGAACAATGACAATAATAGAAATGTTAATGATAGTGATAATAATGGCAAAAATAATTATGATATTAATATCAATAAGGATTATAGAAGAGGTAATGATGAAAGCAATAATGATGGTAATAATGATATTAATGATTATACATATAATGATGCAAATAATTACAGGTTGACATTCAAATATCTGGCCATCAAAAATCTAGGCCATTCAGATTTCCGGCAGACCACGGAGCGCATTTTAAAATTTACCGCGTTGGTGCGTCACTGGACTCGCCGTTTATGTCTCGTTGGCACTGCATTCAAGAACCAGCTGTTGGGTTTGCTTGCCCGTGCTTCCTGCTCATTCCTTCTCATTTTATCTTTTCTTTGCCATTCTATATCCCCCAGATGGATTCA